GCAGCAGCAGCAGCAGCAGCAGCAGCAGCACCAGGAGGCGGCGGCAGTGGCGGCGGTGCCTAGGCTTCGCCCGCACGATAACCGCACCATGGTGGAGATCATCGCCGACCACCCGGCCGAGCTGGTCCGCACTGACAGCCCGAACTTCTTGTGCTCCGTGCTGCCTTCACACTGGCGCTGCAACAAAACTCTCCCGGTGGCATTCAAGGTAAGGAGAACTGGGTAAACCTTCATCAGTCCCCCCCCTCCCGCCCTTCACGGGGGCCCAAGGCAATTTCCTCCTTTCCTCCTGGCCAGGGTAAGGGGCAAGGTGTCAGGGGGCGGTGTGGTGTGATAAGTTAGGGCCTTGGCATCCACTGCATGCAGATTAGGGGGATTTGTAAGTGTTGGCTACTATTCTCAAGGAGCACCTAAGTGCCATTGAGATAGTGCTTTCCATCAGCTGAGAATTGTCCATCTTATAGGTACCTGGCCTTGTCTTCTTGGAGTGGGGGAATAGCCTTCACTATATGGCCTCCTCCTTGCTGCCTGTTTTTAAAGCCTTCGTGTTACTGGCACAAGTTGGCTTCTCGCTTTTCCTTAAATCCTTAGAAGGAGTCCTCTCCTCTTCCTCCCCTACCCTGGTTATTGCAGTGGCCAAAGGATCTTTCCTTCTTAAAGAAAGGTTCAGAAAAGTTTGAACAAGCATTCATCTCATGCCTTTAGGAGAGGACTTGTGGTCCCCTTTAAAATAGGAGATGTGTATCTTTTGCCACATCAGAAAAGGAGGTACTATATATTTGTGATGGTAATCCTTAGCCTCAGTCCTTAGGCAGCTCCCCAGTCCTCTGTTGACTGTTAGTTTCTTTACTGCCTAGGATGCTTGTTTATAGTTCTTGATTAACATTTACCTCCCTCATATTAGCTCTAGACTGAAGTTCATTGGCTTATTATTAGCAACTGCCCAGTAAGACTAACACAAATTAGAGTGAAGTATTAGTATATATACAGAAGGCATTTTAAATAAAATGACCCCAGCTGTTACAAAATGTTTTCCATAAATAATCATAAAGATAGGAGTCATCTAATTGACCATCAGGGTCAGTTAGACGCTCCAAGACATCAGGCAAAATCTCTGGGGGACACTGGAACTGTTCTTTCCAGAATCAAAGACTTTTGGGGGTTAGATCTCTGCAGTGCTTCCATCTTTTGGTCCTAGGCACCTTCCTGACCCATCCTTCCAATGTCATTTTAAGTTTCCTGTGTTGTTGTTTTTTATGTTTAATTTTCTCAACCATAAAATGAGTGTCTGTTCTAGAAGAACTTTGAATTCATTGATGTTGCTCTAAAAATGGAATTGAGCAGAAGTTTCATTGTGGGAGGTGCCTCTTTTGCATCTGGCCGTGTTTGTTGTATCTCTCCAGGGCATTAAATAAAAAGTTCTGCTGGAAGCTGTTTAGACATCTTTAATAGAAGGTGTTTTGTTGATTTGTGGAGTAATGAGGATGAAAGAGTCTTTAAAACTAGTGACAGAAAGGAAAAGCTGTTGATTGGGAGTTTGGGACTGGGTGGGAAGATTTCTGTTGGGGAGGGGGAGATTGTGTTGGATTCCTGCTGGGCAAATTAGGAAGCATTTGCACAGAAGGATGGGTTTGGAATTGGTGGGTTTTTTTTTTTGGCCAAGGCAAAGAAAGTCAATATTTTTAACATGATCACAGATCAGTGAAATGCTATTCAGAACTGAATCAAGAATGGCTTTATTAATATTTTACAGTATATTCACACTCAAATTTTAGAAAACAGAATGTTTTCTCCACTTTCCTTTCTCTTGTATCCATTTTCATAATCCTCAAGTGAATCTCCTTAATCTGTACTACAGATTTATGCCTCTACTTTTCCTTTTTAATAGGATGACTCTTGTTCAGTAGAAAAGGAATAATAGCTAATACATAAGAGAGCTAAACATGTCACATGGACATTACTATAGTACATCTTTCCTTTATTAAGTTTATGTAGATAGAAACAAAATGTTTATATATGTAGCCCTATTAAATTATTTCATGTATGTATGTATGTATGTATGTATGTATGTATGTATGTATGTATGTATGTATAACAGAAAAATACACAGTATATTAATCGAGTCCATCATATCTAACTCATAAGAAGATGCTTTTCCCTGTCCCCCAATATAACAGCCAAAGCTACACTGAATTCTGAGTTTAAAATAACATATGATTAAATGAATAAGGGGTCAGGATTCCCCAGAGAGTTGAATATTAGTACTGAAAGAGATATTCTGTGCATAAATGATAAACAAGACATTGTGGAGCTATTAGGGAAACAGTGAGTTTGGTCTGAGAATTAGCTAAGGCTTGTATTTATTCCAAACATGCAATGACCTCTTCAGTTAGAGATTCCTGGGAACAGTAGCTAAATCATGGAATAATCTAATATGCCATGTGGTCTTGCCACAGCTTCAGTAAAATGAAATTCTGTAGTTTAAAACTGGACAAAGTTTTAGGTACTTTCAGCTTAGTTCAGTGGCCATCCATTAAAGGATGAAAGTGTTCGTAAACTGAGTTTTTTTAATAGTGTGTTGAAAGGGTGATAAATCTTTCTTTAACTGGGTTTATCAACAGCTTGGATGCAATACCTAGAATCACTGAAAAAGAGAGAGATCTTATTTAAATCTGATTACCGTCATTATTCTGCATCGTAGCTTGGCATGGCAGAAGCTGCAGCTGGCAAGTTTAAAAAGATTCAGAGCTCTTGCTCGTGTGTTTATGTGTGTTCATGCATACAAACTTGATTCCTGCTTGCATATTTGCCAAATATGTTTGAGATTTCTTATCTCAAATGAAAAGGCTATGGCAGATACAGGGAAAGCTTCTTTTCTGTAATAATGTCAATATGTGATAAAGTATACTGGTATCAGAATTTTAAACCATGAAAAATAAATATGCTCTTTTTAAATTATTACTGCCACCTGCTGAGTTTTAAACATTAGGGATGTGATGTCAGAGTCCAATCTTAAAATGCTAATATAGAAGTAATAGTATCACTGACATTTAATTAAGAAGCAGACCCGATATGTCTATACTATACACCAGTATAGATTTATGGTGATTACAAAGACACCGTACAAGTTAATTATTTAGTTTGAACAGTAAAAAGTTGTGATACAAAATGTAAAGGTCTGCATTCTTAATCTTTTACTGGTTAACTATGACATGCAAATAGAAAATAAAGCAGTACAATTTGTTTATAACATATCGCTGGAGATAAAGACCCTACTGGAAAGAATATTTGTAAAATAAAATACTGGTAAAAGTTTCCACTAAATAATTTTCACAAAAGGATTTGAAGTTATTTGGGAGGTAGATTATTCTGAAAAAAACAAGGCATGATTGCAAATACATGTATTAATTACAGGGTTTAAAGTGGTTGCTTGTATTAGCTATCATGTGATGAATCCACTTCAAAGGCACATAATATATAGAAGCTTCTTGGAAAAAGCAGCCTTGTAAGCTATATTGGTTTTAATAGTAGTTACTGAACTGCATTCAGCTGCATACAACTTTGCTGAAGTATGAGTCAAGTATCAGTTGAGAGAAATGGATTTACTTATAAAAAGTCTTTAATTGGAAAGTAATCCCACATAGTAATAATGAAATGAAATGTCAGTTGGAAATTTATGTTGACATGATGGTCAAAGACATCATCCACCATGAGTAAATTTATCTGAAGTGGTTTGACTAGAGACAAATATGTTTATAAGATTTCCAAATGCTCTCTCACTTATGGCAGAGAGAAGGGGAGGGAGAGAAAGAGGTGGGGGCTCTTTTAGGCTATATTTTGTTGAAATTGCATTGGTCAAGCGTTCCTGAAGGTCATCTTTATATTTAGGGGCTGGTTGAAGAAAAGTCCTGATTTATTGAGAAATAAGATTGGCTAAACATTTCTTTTAGAAACTTCATCTATATTTGATTTTTTTTTTAAAAAAACTGTCTCCCAGGAAAATGTGAAAATTTTAATATCAAAGCTTTATGTAGTAAATTAGGAGCTGCTGAAAAAAAACAGGTATTAAGTGAAAATTGTAACTGTTCCATAATATTCACAGTGGAAACAATTTGATCATCTCCATCCATCCACTTTCCCATGAATCATTCTGTATAGTGGGGCTGGACTAGGAATCCAGCATTTGACCCACTGGTAATATTTTAATGTTTCTTTTAGGGACACTAATTATGTTTTCACAAAGACACTGCGTCCATTCATCATATTCCTTGCTCCAGAGAAGCCTTATTGGGAGTCAGTGGGACTTTACCAAAGTAAGTGGCTGAAGGAATGTAGTCAGAATTATTAGTTATTCAGCTCTCTACATTTTTGCTGACCTAGATGATGTCAGTAGTAATAAAAAGCTTGTAAGTTAAAAAATAACAGGAAAATAATTACATTTGGTGTGAAGTAATAATGCTGTTGTAGCATTGCAACTCTCTGGGATGTTTCTATTTCCATCAGACCCTGAGTTTTTCAGTTGATTTCAACAGCCTCAAGTTAAAGTCCAGAACATGAATGGCAAGCAGAGTGCTATATTTGTAATTAAAAATACTGTAATTCAAATAAGTTACAGCAAAGACTTCAAGTTTTTTTTTAAAACTTAGCTGTACTTTTACTGTTTAGCTACATAAAATTATTGTAGTAATGAATATTTTATATTATTTAAATTCAAAATATATGTTGCATTTTATAAAAGATACCACGGTATACAATGTTACATCGCTTAGAATACATTTAAAACTTTTGTTCAGGATACTCGCTCAGATAAGATATTTATATGATATATAGACTATTGAAGATAAACATTGCAACAGTTCAGTTTTTCAGTTTTTAGTTTTAACCTTGCTCATTGGACTGAAAACGGCAAAAGTTAAAATAGCTGATAAAAATACAATTCTGCAGGCTTTTAGCAGATTGTTACTCTTACCACTGTTTTAAACTGTAATACAAAATTCCTTTAATTTCTAGTATGGAAAATGCAAGTCCTCAAAACATTGGAAATTATGTACCTATATAGAAAAATATATGCAAGAGGCTAACAACAATTCTTGTGGCTCAATTGGAAGTGTGCTCATATGATGTTATAGTCATGCAGTATTTTTTAAAAACAGCTGTACAGATTGGATCACTAAATGGATTAATTTACATCATAGTACATTTTGCAAC